TGAACTAGGAGAGTTTTTATTCAAAGATATTATGAAGTAAAATATAGTTTTCAAGGCTAAATTTAGATAATATTATACTTACAACAAGTTAGTTAAATTAAAATAATAGTTTAGCTGTAGTATATATTATATTGCTTAAATGAAAATGTACTTATATTTTCAATTGATTAATAAACTGACAATCTAACCTAGCTATGAGTATTCAAAAAAATAATTTATTATTAATATTAAGTATATTTAAGTTTAGTATATAAAAATTAATAAAAAATATAATTTTTATTATGAATAAATTTTTTATTATATAAATAATTTTAAAAAATTTGATTTTATTATAATATTTATATTAAATTTTAGAAATTATTAATTATTTAATTTAATTTTTTTTTAATTCACAATTATGCTACAATAGTATGTCTTTATTGAGATATTGAAATGTTTACAGACTTTTACAAAGCAACTAATTCATCATTGTACATTATTAGCTAAAGAACTACACTACTTAAAAAATATGAGAAGTACACTAATCTAGTTAGGACTAAACAAAACTAAGTCTGAATTAGGTACTCTAAATCAGATTTAAGGAACAATATTATGCTCTCCTAGTAGCTTGGCAAGTTAACCAGGATCAATTATTAATTATTTTATTAATTATTTGTTTTTATTTAATAAGTCTATTTAAATTTGAATATTATAAAAAATTAAATTTCTATTTTCAAATTAAATATTTATCATTTTTTTATAAATAATATTTTTAAAAAATTTTCTTAAGTGATCTTATTTTTTATATTTTAAAAAATATAAATATAAAATTTCATTTTATTTTGTTTAATGGTTATTAAATTGTGAATAAAAATTATAAGTTAATATTTGTTCAAAAATTTTTGTACTAAACTATATATAATAAAATAATAAAGATATTAAAACAATGATTAATTAATTAATATATAAATATTTTAAGCTAGTTATTATGTTTATTAGATTTATTGAAAACAAAGAAAAAAAATAAATTAAAATTATTATTACCAAAAAATCGAATGATAGTCTTATCTTAAACGCATCTCATCTTTACATCATTTATTTTTTCGAACGCATTTCCTGACGCGTTTCTCCTTATGACGTAATTTATTTAACTGATAGACATACTGTATGCTCTCGGTTACTATCTATCTTCAGCTTGGTTATTCGCTCTGTCCTACGTTCTATCCTCAAATATATGGTTCATAGTTTTCCAATAATAAGTGAAATTCCAATAGAGATTGATCCTTTTCTAAAAATTCTTCCTCTTTTTGACCAAGCTCATATCTATTTGATGTCGAGGAAGACGCTCTTTCGACCCCGTCATCGTCATCCTCGTTTTCTTCCTCGCCACTGGATTCAGTATACCTATCTGTAACACACAAATATATGGTTCGTGGTTTTCCAATAATAAGTGAAATTCCAATAGAGATCGATCCTTTTCTAAAAATTCTTCCTCTTTTCGGCCAAGCTCATATCTATTTGATGTCGAGAAAGACGCTCTTCGACCCCGTCATCGTCATCATCGTTTTCTTCCTCGCCACTGGATTCAGTAAAAGCAGGCAAAAGGTAGGTGAATAAAAGGTAAGTGAAAAAGGTAGAAGGCATCGTTTAATATTACCCTTGACTGTATTGATAGAAATTTCTTCCCAAGAAAATCTTTTTAAGCAGGCGGTGAAGGCTGTTGGTAGTCGAGTTTTTTCTATGCTGGTTCTGGAGAAGGAATTGGCTTAAAACTTGCCCCGGGTATATCCTGTGTTCTTCGTCTATTATTGCTTGACACATTGCCTTTCGGTAGCGTGGCCGGGCTCGTAGACTATCTACGATGCCTGACGTCGCTCAAGTGAATGACTTCCAAATATGCTTATTGAATCGAGTTTCTTTGTTTTTCATAAGAAAAAACGGTACCTTTAAAAATTCCCATATTCGTGCCAAATTTAATCGCCTTTTTTTTTTCTTTTTTTTTTTTAAAAAAAAAAATTATAGAATTCGAAATTAAATAAAAATAAAACCAAATTATCGTATATTATTAAATAAAAAGTGAAAAGCTATTCTTGTCGGCGTGGCACACATTTTCACGCGCATTCTCTGAATTTACCAAAACCCTTCCAGTAGCCGGATAGTCAATCATCTGGTATTATTTTGAAGCTGTCTCCAAGATTCGGAAGTTTTATTAGTTGGCTTCTTTGAAAGATTTATCGAAAATGCATCTTGAGATTTCCCTAACATTATCGTCCGATATGAATGGCTTACGTTCTGCATTTGAAAAAAGTTTGTACATTACTTCAAATTAACGATAAAAAAAACGTTATTGGTACCCACCTTACAAGAGAAGAAAACGAAGTATTTTGTACTGTCCAGGGCCATTAAACCTATTCCATTTTCGTTATTTTTTCGGTTAACTACTTAGCATGAGTCAGGTTTTGCTTATGTTCGCATCAGGCAAAACACCCCTTAATTTGACGATCTCGTAAAAAGTCAATGATCGCGATGATCTGGGAAATGCCTAGTCATTGTAGCATATGAGAAACGATAAGCTCATTTCCCCTTATGGATCTTTTAAATCTAATGTTTTCTTGCTGGGGGTAGTTACAGTGGTGGCAATAAATAATGACAATTTCATTTTTTTTAGAAATCACGCCACCCGATCTTTTTTTTTGTCATGTC